GTTATTTTTTTTACCTATTTTGATTTATTCACATTATTGTCGTCAAATTTGAAAGTAGAATTAAAGAAGATATAAAATCGCTTAAAATTAAGAAAAATAGCCTCTGGTTCTCTTATTTTAGTAATTTTTGTATTCCAAAGTGTAGGAGTATGGGGAAAGTAATATAGCTTTGCGGTTATTTGTAAACAATTTTCAATACGTTTAGCCTTTCAGTACTTTCAGTACTTTGAATTTTAAGCTGGTGTCGTTCCCGTGTGTTCTTCAAAAGGAGCGTACCAGTCTGTGATTGGTCAGCTTTTCCTCCTGGGACTAATCAACCTCGCTTGTGTCTTCAATTATCCATGACATGTTCCTGGGGTACAGAGAGCAAAAGTTGTCGTAACTCCTGGAGTATCGAGGATGGTTCCAGGGGTACAGAGAGCAAAAGTTGTCGTAACTCCTGCAGTATCGAGGATGGTTCCAGGGGTACAGAGAGCGAAAGTTGTCGTAACTCCTGCAGTATCGAGGATGGTTCCAGGGGTACAGAGAGCAAAAGTTGTCGTAACTCCTGCAGTATCGAGGATGGTTCCTGGGGTACAGAGAGCAAAAGTTGTCGTAACTCCTGCAGTATAGAGCATGGTTCCTGGGGTACAGAGAGCAAAAGTTGTCGTAACTCCTGCAGTATAGAACATGGTTCCTGGGGTACAGAGAGCAAAAGTTGTCGTAACCCCTGCAGTATCGAGGATGGTTCCTGAGGTACAGAGAGCAAAAGTTGTCGTAACTTCTGGAGTATCGAGGATGGTTCCAGGGGTACAGAGAGCGAAAGTTGTCGTAACTCCTGCAGTATCGAGGATGGTTCCTGGGGTACAGAGAGCGAAAGTTGTCGTAACTCCTGCAGTATCGAGGATGGTTCCAGGGGTACAGAGAGCGAAAGTTGTCGTAACTCCTGGAGTATCGAACATGGTTCCAGGGGTACAGAGAGCGAAAGTTGTCGTAACCCCTGCAGTATCGAGGATGGTTTCAGGGGTACAGTGAGCTAAAGTTGTCGTAACCCCTGGAGTATCGAGGATGGTTCCAGGGGTACAGAGAGCAAAAGTTGTCGTAACTCCTGCAGTATCGAGGATGGTTTCAGGGGTACAGTGAGCTAAAGTTGTCGTAACCCCTGGAGTATCGAGGATGGTTCCAGGGGTACAGAGAGCGAAAGTTGTCGTAACTCCTGCAGTATCGAGGATGGTTCCAGGGGTACAGAGAGCGAAAGTTGTCGTAACCCCTGGAGTATCGAACATGGTTCCAGGGGTACAGAGAGCGAAAGTTGTCGAAACTCCTGCAGTATCGAGGATGGTTTCAGGGGTACAGTGAGCTAAAGTTGTCGTAACCCCTGGAGTATCGAGGATGGTTTCAGGGGTACAGAGAGCGAAAGTTGTCGTAACCCCTGCAGTATCGAGGATGGTTCCATGGGTACAGTGAGCAAAAGTTGTCGTAACCCCTGGAGTGTCGAGGATGGTTCCAGGGGTACAGGGAGTGAAAGTTGTCGTAACCCCTGGAGTATAGAGGATGGTTCCAGGGGTACAGTGAGCTAAAGTTGTCGTAACCCCTGGAGTATCGAGGATACCCTATGACGGCCGAAAACACATAATAATCTGAAAGGCCGCTGACCATTCATTCACCATTACAAAAGTTCATCTACGATAAACCCATTGGTGTCCGCGCAGTAGATGAAAGAGTTGTGTGATAATTTTATACTTGACTTTTCAAAGACTGTTAAAGTGCCTACTTTAATACTTAACACTCAATAATCAGAACTATGCATAACACACCAGCAACTGCGATAGGGTATCAGGACGCCGAAAGTTCAGTCAGGAACGGGAAACTGTGAATTTTCCAAAGTACTCCTGCTATCAGTGTAGTGCACTCATTGACCTCGATACCTCTCCGCCTCCTCGTGGAGTGCACTTAGCGTCATCTGCTGACAAACCTACCTGTTTCCTCCCCTTTCTCGGCACCCCCATGGAGACAGCCGCCCGGATTGGCATCTTACAATGACATACACACTGATAGAACAGTAAAATCTGCCAACAGGGAGGCAAACATTAGCTACCTACATCGGAAAGCGCATTAACCCGTACAAACACATGTTCAATATTATTGTAATTACAAGCGAGTTGTATTTAGTACTAGCGATTTGTCTACAGTTTTCTCCAGGAAAGAACGTTTCAGTAAATAACACCGGTATCAGTAGTGATAATAAAGGTATTTACGTATAAAAGCCATCAGCTCGGACGTGTTGTTCACAACAATTTACCGTTTATAGTAAGAATTGATGACGTGTTAAACAGTAAAACCACCACCAATGCCAGACGACCGCTAGTTTTAATCATAATCACCATTCTTTAAATACATATGCTTTATCGGATGTGTATTCTCAGTGCTGGAGTCAATGTATGCACTATCACGAGGCACTCTCCCTACTTCTGTTAAAATCGATCCATCATATAGACGGATGATATTTGGGCGCGTTGTCCCACCTTCCCGACAATCTACACGGCACACTTGTTCTAAACCAATAAAGAGGAATAGCAGAAGGTGAAAATCTGCCACCTGTGGATAACTGTAGGTGAAAACGGCCACCTGTGGATAACTGTAGGTGAAAACGGCCACCTGTGGATAACTGTAGGTGAAAATCTGCCACCTGTGGATAACTGTAGGTGAAAACGGCCACCTGTGGATAACTGTAGGTGAAAATCTGCCACCTGTGGATAACTGTAGGTGAAAATCTGCCACCTGTGGATAACTGTAGGTGAAAATCTGCCACTTGTGGATAACTGTAGGTGAAAACGGCCACGTGTGGATAACTGTAGGTGAAAATCTGCCACCTGTGGATAACTTTAGGTGAAAATCTGCCACTTGTGGATAACTGTAGGAGAAAACGGCCACCTGTGGATAACTGTAGGTGAAAATCTGCCACCTGTGGATAACTGTAGGTGAAAATCTGCCACCTGTGGATAACTGTAGGTGAAAATGGCCACCTGTGGATAACTGTAGGTGAAAATCTGCCACCTGTGAATAACTAGGTGAAAATCTGCCACCTGTAGATAACTGTAGGTGAAAATCTGCCACCTGTGAATAACTAGGTGAAAATCCGCCACTTGTGGATAACTGTAGGTGAAAACGGCCACCTGTGGATAACCGTAGGTGAAAACCTGCCGCTTGTGTTTAACTCTAGGTGAAAACTGCCACCTGTGGATAACCGTAGGTGAAAACGGCCACCTGTGGATAACTGTAGGTGAAAATCTGCCACCTGTGAATAACTAGGTGAAAACAGCCACCTGTGGATAACTAGGTGAAAATCCGCCACTTGTGGATAACTGTAGGTGAAAACGGCCACCTGTGGATAACCGTAGATGAAAACCTGCCACTTGTGTTTAACTGTAGGTGAAAACTGCCACCTGTGGATAACCGTAGGTGAAAACGGCCACCTGTGGATAACCGTAGGTGAAAATATGCCACTTGTGTTTAACTGTAGGTGAAAACTGCCACCCGTGGATAACCGTAGGTGAAAATCTGCCACCTGTGGATAACTGGAATTATGGAGATACGTTTGGATCGCTTGCTACATCTGATATGGTGGTTTGATATCGTATCCTTTTAATAACCAGGTTGAACGGTTTTTAAATATGCTTGGTTGTGGTATAAGTCGGAGAGAACTCATTTTTCCGTTTATTAATTGTTTTTATTTTAAATTTTGTTTTTATCTCTTGTATATTTCATTATTTTGACATTTTTGTTACCACGTATTAAATCTGCGTGACCATCAGTAAGATATAACACAAGGTGAAAACGACTTATTTTAAATGACGTCATGATGATAATTAGGGTATTTGTGTACCGAGGAAACATATGTTAGTTCTGATAGTTACTGGTACGTTTAGCTCTGATCAAGATCAGGTTGTGTATTGTTACAAGAATATAAATATAAAATTGATCGCGTTTTCGCAGAAATAAAAAAATATCGAAAGTGTCCATATATTTTATCTGTACAAACAGAGACATCCGGTCTATGAAATGACAATTATACAAGAGAACTTTTTAGAACGAAATGAAAAATTACCCCAGTTTCTATTAATTTTCTTTTGCTTTTATCTAAATGCCGATTTCGCTTTTCTCCAAATTTTTTTATTATTACTCGTTAATCAGAAAATGTTGCACGTGTATGCCACAAATGAAATATCAGCTTAGGCACGTGCCGATATCGGTACAATTTATCGATAAGTACAGGTGAAAATGACAGTTCTGACAACATAACGATTTTTGTGATTTACACTATACAGATGAAGAAAGATCATTCCATATATTATAATGAAAATGTAATTCAGTGATTACTTGTTATGTGGTGTCTGGTAACCGAAAATATTCAGTGTGAGTTACACGTGCACGGGAAATAAACAAGTTACGTGATTTAGGGCAACACGAATCACGTAACGAGTATGTGATAGCGTTATAGCTATAATAATTAAGCATGAAATTTGAAGAAAAATCTGGAATGTGATGGTGTCCCGTTTTTCTAAATAATCACATGTAGATCGACTTTTTGAATCTCGCTATGTCTCCAATATCACGAGGTCTCCCGTGTATTTACAAGAGAGAAACATATTGTTTGCTTTCCTAAATTTCCTTTATTAACATACAGATAGTGTTTGACTGTCGGACCAGGATTTACAGGAAACTGATCCCAGAGGTGGTCAGGAAAGTTCGTATCCATGGGAAGGAATGAGAGCGCGTGATCCGAAAGCGCGTGCGGATCTGGTTGGACAGGAGTTTGTAGAGTGTTAAACAGTGTCGAAGATTTTCTATGCGTCCTGATCGATATCAGTGAGCGCTATTAGTTTTAACTCTCACCTGTACAAGTCTGAATTAGTTTTGTGTTCTTAAGATGTATAAAGCATTCTAGAAACCACTGGCGACTCCTGTTGACTATCTGGAGAGTATTTGTGATTTGAAAAATTGGTTGTTTCTTGTCCATTATGGATAACAAGAAGGGTACTGTTTTGTCAGTGGAAACATGTATGGACTGTTTTGATGTCTTCGAAACTCCAACGGACACGACGATATTTCCTTTGTATTTCGGAAATGTTTCCGGCTGGCAAAAAAACATCACCCCGCCGTTTAAACCTGGAGAACGATCAAGTTCGCCAGTACTTCTGATCCTCTTGTCGGTTTTATTCTTTGTGATAGGTGTTACAGGGATTTGTGGTAATGCTTTAGTGGTCTTCGCTGTTATGCTTAACAGAAAGATGAGAACATCAATGACAAACTTACTGATAACTAATCTAGCTTTTGCTGACCTTGTTATCATGATCCTGGGCATTCCAGAGACTGTGCAGTTTATGATGGACCGAGGGTGGACGTTACAGGCAGTGTGTTGTAAGATAAACCGTTACGTGCTGGTGACCGCTTTATACGGGTCCGTCCTGACTCTCATGGCCCTCTGTGTGGAAAGGTAAGTAACATATCATCAAACCAACCGTAAAGGTCAAATATATATATAACAAATACCCGTCTTTCCGGGTCACTATTTTAGGGTCACTGTATCATACAAATTACAGAAAAAGCTTCTCTATATAACGACTACACCATCCACTAACGTGGCCTTGATAGAGGCACGTGATAGTTTCCCTTTAACACGGACTACAAATTGAAAATTAATTCTTGAATACTCTTAAAATCTAAGCTAAAGATAGTGGTGTTTACTGATTTTTCATTTTTGACAATAATTACTTTAAACAAGTTTAATACGTGCTCTACTTTCGAGAATGAATTTATAATTCTAAAGCGAGAAGATATTTTATATCATTTAGGCATTTTCTAGCTAAAATTCTAATTTGGTAAGATAAAAAAATTCTGTACGATCGCATTTTCTCCCGGGAACTGTCAATGTGGTTACTAAAAATATGATATTCAATTTTGTTTTTATATCTAAAAAGAAATCTATAGATAGTGATGCAAATTAATAAGTGTGTGTGCTTGTGGCTCCATTTCATTCACAAACCGGAAGTTGCTGCTACATCATAGTTATATGCTTATTACGAAATCATTGGTGCTGGTCGCAATAAAACGGAAATTGTTAATTTAAATAATTCATCATGGCGGGAGAGGGAGGAGGGAAAACTCTGTCGCTTATATAATAAGTCACATTCTCACTGACATGTTCCGTGAATGCTTGAAATACGAAATGGCTTACAGATTAAGGAGGCTGAATATGTATGGATTCAGCGAAGGAGGCTGAATATGTATGGATTCAGCGAAGGAGGCTGAATATGTATGGATTCAGCGAAGGAGGCTGAATATGTTAGGAATCAGCGAAGGAGGCTGAATATGTTAGGAATCAGCGAAGGAGGCTGGATATGTAAGGATTCAGCGAAGGAGGCTGAATTTGTAAGGATTCAGCGAAGGAGTCTGAATATGTATGGATTCAGCGAAGGAGGCTGGATATGTATGGATTCAGCGAAGGAGGCTGGATAAGTATGAATTCAGCGAAGGAGGCTGAATATGTTAGGATTCAGCGAAGGAGGCTGAATATGTATGGATTCAGCGAAGGAGGCTGAATATGTTAGGAATCAGCGAAGGAGGCTGAATATGTTAGGAATCAGCGAAGGAGGCTGAATATGTTAGGATTCAGCGAAGGAGGCTGAATATGTATGGATTCAGCGAAGGAGGCTGAATATGTATGGATTCAGCGAAGGAGGCTGAATTTGTTAGGAATCAGCGAAGGAGGCTGAATATGTTAGGAATCAGCGAAGGAGGCTGAATATGTATGGATTCAGCGAAGGAGGCTGGATATGTATGGATTCAGCGAAGGAGGCTGAATATGTATGGATTCAGCGAAGGAGGCTGAATATGTATGGATTCAGCGAAGGAGGCTGAATATGTATGGATTCAGCGAAGGAGGCTGAATATGTTAGGATTCAGCGAAGGAGGCTGAATATGTTAGGAATCAGCGAAGGAGGCTGAATATGTATGGATTCAGCGAAGGATGCTGAATTTGTTAGGAATCAGCGAAGGATGCTGAATTTGTTAGGAATCAGCGAAGGAGGCTGAATATGTATGGATTCAGCGAAGGAGGCTGAATATTACGGATAATTTGCAGTATTTCATGCAAGTTGACGCTCGGACTTAAGTCACTGAGTGATATTGCTACCACCAACAATGTTAGTATTTATCACTGTATCTATTCGGTATTTGACGGATGTGTATATTTATATAGGCCATGCCTGTTGCCAAATTCCTTTTGACGGTAAAATCATGACAATAAAATATTGAAATGAAAAATATGAGCGCCAAATTCTTACTGATATTTAAGTCTGTTTTTAATTTCGACCGAAGAAAGAACTGGTCAAACCTTCATTCATACGACGGATACAAGCAACACACTTAGCATGGTCAAACTTTAAACGAAAGTGGGATCAGCTTATCTAGGACAAATCATTGCGACAATTTACCAATATTTCTAAGGCTCTGATATTCTCCATGATAATATCTTCAAGCGATGAACGTTTCCATATTTAAGATCGTTGAAATTAGTTTTACAGCTTTCTATGACAAAAAGCTTCACGGAAATTCGACAGATTTATCAAATATAAGATCTTGAAAAACACATGTAACAATCATATGCCTCACTTTAAAATTTTTGGATTTTGAATTATCGAAAATGTAATTTGAGTTATCCAACGGCGGCGCTATCTATATTCAGGCTACATGACTCTTGTCATTAAAGCCGATCTTGATAACAAATGGGGAATCATCTGGGCTTATCTGATGAAAACGTGTCCACATTCATTTACTTTATTTTTTTAATTTTCAGATAATTATTTTAATTATGAAATATGACTTTCTTGCTGTTTTTTTATCTTGCTTGCTTAGCTTATCATCATGTTATTATTTGTGTTGACATTTAACGAAATAGCGTTTCAATCTCTCAGTTATCAAGTAAAATTCTCTCCTTGAATAATTATCTGTCATTTCAATCAGTCCAAACGCACAGGTTTGTGTAGGGTTGGTAACGAGGTCGTGGCATGTTTTTGCCGGATGTAGCATTTCCAAACTTGTTCGACAAATTTATTTGTTTAAACCAAGAAGAATGCAGGAGGCTATCGGCTGGCACTAATTATATGTACACTATCCCTTTAATATAAACTTTATTTATTTTACAACAATTGCGAAACAAGTTATGCTAACATCTTATACTAATCACTCTTGTTGGCCCGGATGTAAGCGCGCGAGGGGTCTTATTGTGGGAGGAAACCGGAGTATCCGGGGAAAACCCACGTGGTCGGGCAGGTGACCCCTTACCTTTGCACGTCCGTTCCGGGAATCGAACCACGGTCGGCTAGGTGAAAGGCGAGTGCGCCACCCGACCACACTATACCTTCAATTAATCACTTCTGCAGTTATTATGTTCATTGTGATTATCACTAGGCCCGGCCAAAAAATGCTGCCACGCTCTAAGCTTCAGGTTAATAACACATCTTAAACAATAACACTGATACAGGTGACAGCCGTATAAACATCTATTCTATGTCCAGCCTCATTACCATACTGTTGAAAGAGGAATGCAACGCATGCGTATCACACCGGAAGTAGCAAAGCGGAAGAACATACTCCAGCACTAACCTTAATTATCTCCCAAAGTCGGCCGTCTTTTGTCAAAATTTAGAGCTTGCGATGAACCATTCAGCAGATGTCAATGGTCTTTGAAGTGATATTTAGATGGATTAACTTTCATAGAATTATTCAACATTCAACAATATTCTGTGCTGTAGTAAATTTCATCAATAGGGACTCGACAGAGGCCAAATATAATTGCTCACGCGTCTCATCATACTTTGAGATCTGAGTATTAAATCCCAATAGCGATATCACAGGTTTATTTTCGATCTGAGGCGATGATACCGTGTCAGACGAAAAAGTAATTCAGTTATAAGTCAGGTTGATTCCTGTCTCGCAATCAGCTGAATCCAACAGGAGAGGTCATTGATAACAACGACAAACAGCAAACTTCATGCAAGTATTGCTTGTTTACTGAAAATACCGCACACAAATCCACTGTCTCGTATCAATTATTATTTTCGTTACAACCACGTGTGATAGTTTAGATTCTGTAACCGACATTAATATCGCTTGGAATTCAACTCATTAATTCCTAGGCTTCACTTTCAGTAGCTTTTGATAACTGCCGGAATCAGTGTTGAACACAGCCTCGAACATGTATACATGCTCTCCCCATTACTCCTACTATCGCAGGAGAAATTATTCTCAATGTCTAAGGCTATATAACCATCGAAAAAAACTTTCAAGCACGTTCTTATCAAATCCTTTCTGTGAATCAATGGTTCAGACATATGTCACTGTGAACTGGTGATTCAGACAGATGTCACTGTGAACTAGTGATTCACACAGATGTCACTGTGAACTGGTGATTCAGACAGATGTCACTGAGAACTAGTGATTCAGACAGATGTCACTGTGAACTGGTGATTCACACAGATGTCACTGTGAATCTATGGTTCAGACAGATGTCACTGTGAACTAGTGATTCAGACGGATGTCACTATGAACTGGTGATTCAGACAGATGTCACTGAGAACTAGTGATTCAGACAGATGTCACTGTGAACTAGTGATTCAGACAGATGTCACTGTGAACTAGTGATTCAGACAGATGTCACTGTGAACTAGTGATTCAGACAGATGTCACTGTGAACTAGTGGTTCAGACAGATGTCACTGTGAATCAATGATTCAGACAGATGTCACTGTGAACAAGTGATTCAGACAGATGTCACTGTGAACTAGTGATTCAGACAGATGTCACTGTGAACTAGTGATTCAGACAGATGTCACTGTGAACTAGTGGTTCAGACAGATGTCACTGAGAATCAATGATTCAGACAGATGTCACTGTGAACTAGTGGTTCAGACAGATGTCACTGTCAATCAATGATTCAGACAGATGTCACTGTGAACTAGTGATTCAGACAGATGTCACTGTGAACTAGTGATTCAGACAGATGTCACTGTGAACTAGTGATTCAGACAGATGTCACTGAGAACTGGTGATTCAGACAGATGTCACTGTGAACTGGTGATTCAGACAGATGTCACTGTGAACTAGTGATTCAGACAGATGTCACTGTGAACTAGTGGTTCAGACATATGTCACTGTGAACTAGTGGTTCAGACATATGTCATTGTTTCTGTAATACCTCGACTGTTTCTTTCAAGAGTACAATGTCGTCTGTAAACGCGTACAATAATGAATATATGACTTGCAGCTCAATACATACAGAAACACACATTTTATAGACACACTCCTCAATCATTTACATACATTTCATGCAGGAGATGATATTTCTCTTGAAATTAAATCTCGTTTTCAATGAAATCAGAAAAAATAGCATTTTAAATTATGATACCTACAATGCCTTGTTTAGCAGTGCGTACAG